GAGAAATAAATGATAATGTTGTCCAAAGAATTGCTGAAAATATTGTTTGGGGGAAAAAATTATTTAGTTTTAACTTTTAATTGTATTTTTCTTAGTTTAACTAGTGATAATTTAATTTTGTAATTTTCCTTATATATAACAATGTACAAACTTTTAATTTATATTGATAAAATTCTAATTTTTTTTTTGAAAATTCTGATTTTAATTGTATTATATAATTGTATTACTCTTATTATTATTATTGGCTTTAGGTATATTCACTATGTGGCATTGCATATAGGGAACCATGGAAATAAGGTATATGCGCCTTGGCATTAGGTATAGGAAACCGTGGCATTAGGTATTATAGCTAATGCCACGGCAATAATGTTGCCGTCGCAACAGGTATTGGTCTATTGCCACGGATCAGTGATGCCGTGGCATTAGGTGTCATAAGCCGTTGCATTAGATCTACTGCAACGCCAGCAGATGCCACGGTACATGGCCGTTGCATTAGGCCTAATGCCACGGATTTTGATGCCTAATGCAACGGATTTAGGGGTTGCAATAGATCAAAAATGTAGTAGTGTATATATATGTTAAAAGATGACTTTCTAATTATGGGATGGTAATGTATGTTTGTATGAATAGAAGAGAGCAAAAGAACAGATAAAGAATCGGTTGCTATTTTCTTCTTCTTACCTACATAGTTCACAAGATTGTGAACATATTTATAGGCAAACATTGCCATCAAAATACTATACATGATTGTACCTCTAGACAAAGTATTGTCCATAATAAATGCATGTCATGAGCTACAAGTTATGTGAACTTCATTTTGGCTCTTTCTCAACACTCCCCCTTGAAGTTCGCATGAAATGGGGTATGGGTTGCCTTAAAGAAAAATATTATATGCTTTGATATACTGCCTTGTTAAAAACCTTGTCAGGAAAAATCCAGTGGGATAAAAACCTGATCGAAGGGAAAAAGAGTGCAGTGCATATAATACTCCCCCTGATTTCAACATAGTTCACGAAGATGACGCATTCCAATTTTGTGAACTAATTGCTCAAATTTCTTAGAAGGCAGTGATTTGGTGAACAGATCGGCAAGGTTGTCACAAGACTGAATTTGTTGGATATCTATTTCCTCATCCTTTTGTAGATCATGTGTGAAGAATAGTTTTGGGGATATATGTTTTGCTCTATCTCCCTTGATATATCCTTCAATTACTTCAGCGATGCATGTTGTATTGTCTTCAAAGATGGTGGTTGGATTTTCTGTTATTGCTTTCATTCCACACTTCTTTTGGATATTACTAATCATCGACCTCAGCCATACACATTCTCGTCCTGCTTCATAAAGGGTTATCAACTCTGCATGATTTGAGGATGTCGCGGTCAATGTCTGTTTTGTTGATTTCCATGATATTGTTGTGCCGCCATAAGTGAACAAATATCCATTTTGTGACTTGGCAATTTGAGGATCCGATAAGTATCCAGCGTCTGCATACCCAATGACAGCAACATCTTGTTTCGATTCATAATATAAACCAAGGTCTTGTGGCCCTCGTAGGTACCGGAGTAAGTGTCGGACTCCTTTCCAATGTTTGTATGTCGGTGCATTGCTATACCTGGCTAACAAGTTCACAGAGAAAGCTATGTCGGGTCTAGTGTTGTTAGCTAAGTACATTAAGGCTCCAATTGCACTTAAGTCTGGTACTTCTGGACCCAGAATTTCTTCATTTTCTTCTCGGGAACTGAATGGATCATTTTTCATATTCAAAGAACGAACAACCATTGGGAAGTTGATTGGGGTTTCTTTGTCCATGAAAAATCTTTTCAAAACTCTTTCTGTATAGTTTGATTGATGGACAAAAATACCATGACTCAAATGCTCAATTTGCAATCTAAGGCAAAATTTAGTTTTTTCCAAGGTCTTTCATCTCAAATTCTTTCATCAAGTATTTTGCAGGTTTCTCAAGTTCATTTGGGGTTCCGATGATATTCAAATCATCAACATAAACTGCAATAGTAGCGAATCCTGATTGTGATCGCTTTATAAAAACACAAGGACTAATTTGGTAGTTCTTGAACCCTTCTCTCATAAGGTATTCACAGAGATGGTTATACCACATCCTTCCAGATTGCTTCAATCCATAAAGTGCCCTTTTTAGTTTTATGAAAAGTAATTGTCTAGGTTTGCGGTTATCTGGTAGTTTTAGTCTTTTAGGGACTTTCATGTAAATGTCTGTATCGAGTGACCCATACAAATACGCAGTCACTACATCCATTAATCGCATTTGCAGTCCTTTTGTGACTGTCAAACTTACCAGAAATCTTAATGTAGTTGCATCAACTACTGGAGAATATGTTTCTTCATAATCGATCCCTGGAATTTGAGAAAATCCTTGGGCTACAAGTCTTGCCTTGTATCTAACTATCTCATTTTTCTCATTACGTTTTCTCACAAATACCCATTTGTATCCAACGGGTTTTACACCCGCTGGTGTAAAGGTTATTTTTCCGAAAACTTCTCATTTTTCAAGTGACTTCAACTTAGCCAGCATTGCCTCCTCCCACTTTGGCCAATCACTCCTGTGTCGGCATTCTTCCACTGTTCTTGGTTCAACATCTTTTTCATCGGACACAATGTCGATTGCGATGGAATTTGTAAATATTTCATCCACGATAACATCTTTCCTATTCCAATAAGTCTTGGTAGAGACGTAATTCATTGAAATTTCATTGTTATCGATGTTTTGAACATCTTGTTCATTTCCCGTAGGGTTGTCTTCTTGTTCGTCCCCTTTTGGATTATCATCATTTTCTTTACTTTCATTCACATTTGGTCTTTCTTGACCTTCTGATGGGGAAACATCATTAGTCTCATTTTCTATTCCATCCAATCTTTTCAACTTCCTTGGTTTAGAATCTTTTGAACCAAGTGGTCTCCCACGCTTTCTGTGTGCTTGGGATTCATTCTCAATGGCCTTATTATCAGTTGGGATTTCAATACGTGCAGGGGCATTTTCTGCTGGTATATATGATTTTGTCACCTTCTTTGTGTCTACAAATGCATCAGGCAATTGATTTGCAATACTTTGTAAATGAACAATTTTCTTGACTTCTTGTTCACACATATTTGTTCGTGGGTCTAACATCAACAATTGTGTTGCATTCCAAATAAGTTCTATTTCTTTCTTGTGTGGGTCCACTTTCTCTCCCCCTAAGGCTGGGAATACTACTTCATTAAAGTGACAGTCGGCAAATCTAGCCGTAAATAAGTCACCAGTCAATGGTTCAAGATATTTAATTATAGAGGGGGATTCAAACCCAACATAAATTCTCAGCCTTCTTTGTGGACCCATTTTTGTTCGTTGGGGTGGAGCAATGGGAACATATACAACACAACCAAAGATTTTTAGATGTGAGATACTTGATTCTCGGCCACAAACAAGTTGTAGTGGTGAGAATTTATGATAAGCTGTAGGTCTCAATCTAATTAGTGCTGCTGCATGTATTATAGCATGTCCCCAAGCAGATGATGGCAATTTTGACCTCATTAATAATGGTCTTGCAATCAATTGCAATCTCTTAATTAGTGATTCAGCTAGACCATTTTGTGTGTGAACATGAGCTACTGGGTGTTCAACATCAATTCCGATTGACATACAATAACATTAAATGTTTGGGATGTAAATTCCCCAGCATTGTCGAGTCTTATTTCTTTATTGTATGATCTAGGAATTGTGCTCTTAATTTGATAATTTGGGCAAGTAATTTTGCAAAGGCAACATTTCTGCTTGAAAGCAGACTAACATGTGACCATCGTGTAGAAGCATCAATTAAAACCATGAAATATCGAAATGGTCCACATGCCGGATTAATTGGCCCGCAAATATCTCCCTGAATTCTTTCCAAGAATTTTGGAGATTCAATAGCAATTTTGTTCATGGATGGTCTTATTATTAATTTGCCAAGTGAACATGCAGAGCATGTCAACTCATTCGATCGAGGAATTTTGACATTTCTTATTGAATGTCCAATTGAATTCGCTATTATTCTTTGCATCATCCCAGTTGCTGGATGTCCCAACCGATCATGCCATAAAATAATAAAATGTTTGTCACCTAACTTCTGGTTAGATACCATATTGATTTCCACAGGTCGTATGTTTATACGATATAGTCCCGAAGAATATGCTGGCAATTTCTCATAAATGTGTTTCTTGCCAGATTTTCCTGCCGTGAGGCATAAATACTCCTTTTGACCTGTTGTCATTGTTTCTAAATGATAGCCATTTTGGCGTACATCTTTAAAGCTTATGAGATTTCTTCGAGATTTACTCGAATATAAAGCATTATTGATTTTCAATTTTGTTCCATTTGGAAGCATTATACAAGCCTTTCCATATCCTTCAATTAATTTTGCTGACCCGGAAATAATGTTTACATTTGCCTGAAACAACTTTAGTTGTGAAAAATATTTCCTATCCTTTAAGATAGTGTGTGTTGTTCCACTGTCCAAAAGGCACTGATATTCGGAACCAACTTCAAGCATATCCATATCTTCATAAAATAAATATGAGATTAGTTTAGAATAATATCATACAAACTTTTATTGATGATAAAAATTAAGAGTACATGACTAGTCATTTAAAATATAGTACATAACAGAAAATACATTAAAACGTAGTACATATTACATTAGTAGATGGGTTATTTAAGCATTGTTATTTTCTCCAAAGATGAAATCATTCTCAATTTCAGCATTGTAAAGAAATCGGACACATCAAGGGTAGGACATGGAGCATTGTCTTCATTAACATAATTTGCTTCTGCATTTTTCTCTTTGCCTTTTACAGAAGCCTAGAAAAGGTCTACCAAATGTTTGGCCGTACGACAAGTACGTCCCCAATGCCCTTTCATGCCACATCTATAACATGTGTTTTTTCCTTTTGTAGGAGTTTGTTTGTGGCTTCCAGATGACTGTCCCTTCTGTTTTTCAAAATTATTGAAATTACTGTTTCTTTCCTCGGCCTTGTCCATGATAATTTCCACGACCATTGTAATTTCCACGTCCACCTCTTCGTGTAGCATTTGCCTCGGGTGGATAAGAACTTGTTGCATTTGCCTCATGATGAGTGGCCACAGACCCAGTTGGTCTAAGATTATGATTTTTCAACAAAAGATCACTATTTTGTTCCGCAACAAGCAATACACTCATTAATTCATTAAACTTTTTAAAACCTCTTTCACGATATTGTTCTTGCAACAGTATGTTGCTTGCATGAAAGGTAGTGAGTGTTTTTTCAATCATCTGTTCATCGGTGACTGGATGATCACAGTATCTCAATATAGATACTATCTCATGCATGGTAGAATTGTAATCAATTACGGATTTGAAATCCTGGAACCGTAAATTTGTCCAGTCAAATAATTCCTTAGGAAGGAGCACCCTTTTGTGGTGTCCAAATCTTTCATTAAGGCAATCCCATAATTCTTTGGGATCTTCAACCATCATGTACTCAGTTTTAAGGCCTTCATGTAAATGATGCCTTAGTAACACTAAGGCTTTTGCCTTTTCTTGTTCAGTAACAGGTTTTTCAACCGTCATGGCAGAAGTGGTAGTATCAGTTGTTTGACCAGAGGGACTTTTATTATCTTTAACAGTGTGCTCCAACCCTTGAGCTTTTAAATTCATCATGGCATCGACTTTCCATTCCAAAAATTTCTTTCCAGATAAATCTAGGATACTGAATTGTCTTTTCATAAGATCTCCCATTTTAACTACAAAAAATCATGTGATGATTAGTTTATAATAATAAACCATATGTACAACACATATGTTTAATTCTTCCATATTTATAGTTTGTTAATGAAACACGTGATAATTAAATTTAATTAACAATAATAAACCATAAATAATATAATTCTTTTCTCCCCCTGACTAGGAATTGGTGTTGATAACATGTTAAAATATGACTTTCTAATTATGGGATGGTAATGTATGTTTGTATGAATAGAAGAGAGCAAAAGAACAGATAAAGAATCAGTTGCTATTTTCTTCTTCTTACCTACATAGTTCACAAGATTGTGAACATATTTATAGGCAAACATTGCCATCAAAATACTGTACATGATTGTACCTTTAGACAAAGTATTGTCCATAATAAATGCATGTCATGAGCTACAAGTTATGTGAACTTCATTTTGGCTCTTTCTTAACAATATATATATATATATATATATATATATATATATATATATATATATATACATATATATATATATACATATATATATATATACATATATATATATATACATATATATATATATACATATATATATATATACATATACATATATATACATATATATATATACATATATATATACATATATATATATATATATACATATATATATATATACATAGAGAGAGAGAGAGAGAGAGAGAGAGGAGGGATCCGATATAAGAACCCTAATTATATAAGAATTAATCTTAATTGTAGGATTAGATTGATATGAACGGCCACAATTAAAACAAATCACAAACCCTCAAACTCAAACAGCTTTCACTTTCTCTCTCCTCAATCTAAACGTTTGTGAGTTTCTCTCTCCTCAAAACCGCCAAAAGCTGCACTTCGAAGAACTTTCAACAATTTTCCTTCATTTTCTCGGTTAAAATCAACAACATTGATCATAGAATAAGTTAAATTTCACAAATTAAGAGCAAATTTTGGCGAAAAAACTCTAGGTATCACAATTCAGGTATGATTATATTCGACCATTTGTTTGTTTTTTCACGAATTTTCAGCGATTTCTGTGATTTGATATTTGCGTTTTTTCCGTTTTGATTTTCATGAATTTTGCATGAGTTCGATTTTTTTGATTTGGTTTTAATGAATTTCGCATGGAGTTTGATTTTTTGAGTTCTATTTTTGCAAATTTAGGGTTCAAACTCCAACGATTTTAGGGCAGGTATTTCAGCAATTTTAATGTTCGAATTTTAGCGATTTTAGTGTTTGAATTTCCAATATGAGGTAATTTCACCGCTACTCTTGATTATTAGATAATTTCAGTCCATTTTAATCGATTTGTTTTGTTTTTTTTGGCATCTTTTTTGGTGAGTGATGGTAGAGGTCGAGGGTGAGTAATGGTGATGCGGTGGTTAGGAGTAGCGTGGGGTGCTGCTGAATGGTGATTGGTGGTGCGCGGCTGCTTGCGATGTTGGGTGGCTATGAGTTGTGGTTGTTGTAGTGGACGGTGGTTGGAGGAGGTTGGAGATGGTAAAAAACTTTAGAATATAAGTAGACTAAATTTAGAACATAGGAAAAAAAATTTAGAACATAGGTAAAAGAGTATTTAGAACATAGGAAAAAAAACTTTAGAACATAGGTAGAAAAAATTTAGAACATAGGAAAAAAATTAGAACATAGGTTGAAAAAACTTTAGAACATAGTGCTGATCTTTCCACGTTGTTCTTGTCGATATGTTTATAGAATGTCAATGTTATGATCTATCACTTTTAAGATATGCAAGCAACTGACAAAGCTTAGCATGTTCTAAATTCTTTTTAAGCATGTTTTAAACTCTTTTTTAGCATATTCTAAATTATTCCTATGTTCAAAAATATATTACTAATGTTGAAATGTTACTAATGTTTTTGATTTCTTAAAATTGCAGCAAAATGCAAGGCCAAAATGAAGAAAAATCAGAAGGAGTTACTAATATACAAGAAGAAATTACTTATTTAAGAAAAAGGTAACTAAACTAATGTTATAAAGTTTACCTTTTATGTTTTAAAGTTTGCTCTAAAGTTTTCCATTATGTTCTAAAATTTTCCCTTATGTTCTAAAGATTTTTATTATGTTCTAAAGATTATCATATATGTTTGAAAGCTTATTTTGTAGTCTAATGTTTGTCCATTATATTTAAATTTCATCTTAACCCTTTATATTTGCACTATATGTAAGTTTTGATCAAAGCATACATGAGTATGAAGTTTTCCTTTTTGTGGTTTTATTTGATTATGTTTGAAATTGGTTAAGGTTTTGGTGTTGAGGTTTGAATAGGTTTTTTTTTTTTTCCAAATTTAATATTCTGTATTTTACTGAACAACTCCTATGTTCTAAAATTTGCCCTTTATGTTCTAAAGTTTTCCCTTATGTTCTAAAGTTTACCCTATATGTTCAAAAGTTTATACTAGATATTCTAATGTGTATCCATTATAGTTTATGTTCATCTTATCCCTTTGCACTCTATTTAATATTAGTTATATTCTAATTATTTATGATTGTTTTTAAAGGAAAGTTGATAACGTTGAAGCGGAAGTAATCGACAAATCGGAATTTGAGAAGCATACTGCAAGTAAAAGTGTTGCTAAAAGACATAGCAAACTTCCAACAAGGCTTCAACCACCTCGAAAATTGCAAAAAAAGGAAGAAGGAGAAAAGGATCAAGAAGAAGAAAAAGATCAAAAAGAAAAAGAGGATAATAATGGTGAGAATGATGATGAGAATAATGATAGTGAAGATGATGGTGAGGATGATAATAAGGGTGATGTTAAGATGAAAAAAGAAAGATGAAAAAGAGGAGGAGATGGAAGATGATAGTGAGGAGGAACAAAAAATCAAAAAAAAAAAAAAAAAAAAAAAAAAAAAAAAAAAAAAAACAAACAAACTCAGTTAATAGTAAGTCTTTATTTTTTGAGTTGCATTCCTAATTTGTTTAAATGTGGCTCATTATGAACTAATCTTGTTGCATGATGTACATATTCATGGAAACTGAAAATGTAAAGAAGAAGAAAAAAAAATATTGAAAAAGAAGAAGATGATGAGGATATCCAAGTACTAGAAGCTAATGAGTAAGAAAATCTAGTTAAGAGGCGACCTTATCAAAGAGTACCTCCTACCCAATTCATGGAGGATGTGTTGATAGATTTTTCGGAGAAACATAAGCAAGCTATTCGGAACGTTGGTTTTGGAGGTTTTTTGGAATTGGTTTTACCAATCCATACTAATTCTATGTAAGTAGTAGATCTTTCATATTCTACAATCATACGTATTATCATTGTTATGTTCTAAATTATGATCTCTCATGTTTGAATCTCTATACACTAATGTTCTAAATTAATTTTTGGTTATGTTTTAATGTATGATTATTATGTTCTAAAATAGAACTTTTTTTATTCTCTAATGTTCTAAAATTATGTTCTAAAGTTTAAATATTATGTTAAATTTTTTATTCTTCTATGTTCTAAAGATTGACTATTATGTTCTAATTCTAGGTGTATTGTGTTCTAAATCTTACATTTTTCATCATAATTCTAGGTTGACAGAAAACTTGGTTATGAATTTTGACAAGGAGAGATGTTGTTTGATGCTGCCTAAGAGAAAACAAAAAATCTTTTTGGATGCAATTGATGATCATTTGGCTTATGGGTTGCCATTAGGAGGCAAAAGGATTGAGCAACCAAATGATGAATCAAATCTGAAATAAGCAAGTTTCTAAAAGACTGGAGAAGCAAGTTTGGCCTCAAAAAAATATGATGATATAATGTGGTTATGTTTTAAATTTTATGTTCTAATGTATGAATATTATGTTCTAAAATGCAGATCTTATATGTAGTTATTTGACTTGTAATGTTCTAAATTAGCTATTTATATAATAATATATTGGTATAAGATGGTTATGTTATAAATTGTATGTTTAAATTCATTTTTGATCTTGTTTAAACTATATCTATTATACTTTTTATGTTTTAAATTATAATCTCCTATGTTCTAAAGTGTTTTCTGCTTATATTCTAAAGTACAATAATTATGTTCTAAAATAGATCTATTACATTCTAGATTATAAATATAATGCTTATTATGTTCTAAATTATAATCTCCTATGTTATAGATATTGACTATTATCCCCATATATGTTATAATTTATATGTTTTTTTTTTTTGTTTTTTTTTTTACCTCTAAAAGGGAAGTCCAACCAACAAAAGATTGATCGACAAAATTCAAAAATTGAAGAAGAAAAAAACAGTTTCTGATGAATTCCTTGGGAACTTTGTGGTATGTGTTGTCAATTGTTGCATTCGATCAACAAACAACACACAACTATACATTAAATTCTTGTATAGTTGTATGGATGTAAAGAAAATTGCTGAATTGGATTGGTGCACATTTGTGATTGAGCACTTACAAGATTCTGTTAATGTATGGAAGAAGGGAAATTCTTACTTTACAGGTCATTTACCTTTTCTAATGGTAAGTTTTAATTTCTTACCATTATGTATATATGTTATTCTTGTTTTGTTGAAAATGTGTGAAAAATATTCTAATTAATTCTTAACATGTACTAAATAGGTATTCTATTTTGATCGTCTACAAAGAGGAGGGTTAGAAAAACCAAGAAAAAATCCACTAATATCGGTGTGGACAAAGGAAAGGATTCAAGTGAGATATAAATTTGAAAAGGATCATGGATTTGGATATGGAAAAATCTTGGAAATAATGGAATCAAATGTGGTATGATATTTGTATATGCTTATGTTTAAACACTACACTTTATATTCTATCTATATTTGTCCACGTTCTAAATTTTACCCTTTATGTTCTAAACTATATACTTTATGTTATAAACTGTTTTAATAATTACCCCTATATATTCTAAACTTTATATTCAACTTACTTTTGCCTATGTTCTAAAGTTTACCCTGTACGTTCTAAAGTTTATCTTTATGTTCTAATAATTCAACTTACTTTTGCCTATGTTCTAAAGTTTACCCTGTATGTTCTAAATTTTACCCTATATATTCTAAAGTTTACTTTTTATGCTCTAAAGTTTATCCTTTATATTCTAAATATTGTAATTTATATATTTTAATGTGTAGGAAGAAAACAAGAAACAATCAAGACAAGAGGACAAGGAGAAGAGAAAGGAAGAGTCATCAATGGTAACTATACCTTTTAAATTATTACTACATATGTTTATCTTTTAAAAATTGTAGACACTTTATTCTAACTTTTATATTCTAATCTTTAAAATTTATGTGGTTGTTTTCTAAATTTTGTAATTTATATACTAGAAGGCATCAATAGGAAAAAAGAAACAACCAAAACAAAAGGACAAGGAGAAGAGAATGAAAAAATCATCAATGATAACTATACCTTTTTAATTATAACTAAATATGCTTAACTTCTTAATATTTTAGATATTTTATACTTTACGCTCTTTTTATTTTAAGTTTTTATGCATATGTTCTAAGATTTTTATTTTATGTTTTGAAAGGCACACAAAGAAAAGCAAACAAAAAACAAAGGCAAGGAGGGAAGAATAGAACAACCATTAATGGGTTCTTGTTCTACAACTTCTCGAAATGACATGATGGTATAATGTTTAAATGGTTTATTTATTTATTTACTTATTTATATTCCCTTCTTATTATGTTCTAAATTATCATCTATGTTCTAAATAATCATTTACTTTATTTTCTAAATTATATTTTATGCTCCATTTAATCCTTTACGTTTTAAATTATCCATGTTATGCCATTTATGTTATAAGTTTTCCTTTATGTTCTAAATTATTTTTGTGTTCTAAATTATGTTATAAGCTTTTTGAGCAAATTTGGAGATTTGGCAAAAACACTTGTCTCGAATGTTAAAGACATGTATGGCATGTTAGAACAAGTGAAAAATCTTTTTGTTGAGGAAGAAACAACGGGAAAAATGCAATATCTCATAGACAACATATGGTGCAAGTACACAACAAAGGTATTATAATTATGTTCTAAAGTATTTTCTGGTTGTGTTCTAAAGTATTTTCAGCTTATGTTCTAAAGTATAATAAATTTCACATGTTCAAACTACATGCTTAATTTCCAAATTATATTAATGTTCTAAATCAGATGCTTATATTTTAAACTACTTTCTTATGTTCTAAAAGATACACTTAAATCAGATGCTTATGTTCTAAATCAGATACTTATGTTTTAAATTATATGATTATGTTCTAAATTAGTTATGTTGTAAAGTAACTTCTTATTTTCTAATTATTTTTTGTTATGCTATAATACTTAATTTTTATGATCTAATTGTTATGAAGATTTGAGATCAAAGGAAGAGGAAAAAGATAAGAACAAAGAAGAGAGAAATGAGCAGAAAAACAAGGAGAAAAAAAATGATCAAAACAGTGTGCAAAATGAGGAGAATATAGACAAAAACTTGTTGGTCCCCTCACTAGTAGTTGGTAATTTCACATTATTTTCAAATTCATTTTTTATGTACTAATATTTACTAGATATGGTATAATGTTACTTCTCATGTTCTAAATTTTTTCTGGTTATATTCTAAATTTACTTCTTAATTTCTTATATTCTAACTAATTCTAGGATGTCTCCTAATTGTTTCTACTTATAGTCTAATAGTTACTTATGTTCTAACTATTTCTAGGTTGTGTAATAATTGTTTATATTTCTTATGTTCTAAAGTTACTTTTTATTTTCTAATTATTTCTTGCTATGCTATAATACTTAATTTTTATGTTCTAATTGCTTTGAAGATTTGGGATCAAAAGAAGAAGAAAAAAAGAAGGACAAAAAAGAGAGAAATGAGGAGGGAAAAAAGGAGAAGAAAGATGATCAAAATGTGGAGAAGAAAGAGAAAAGGAATGAGGAGACACCGATAACACCAATTCCTCCAAAAAAGAAGCAACCTTTTGATATAACTTCTCCAAGCTTCTACTTGTTGACCCCCTCACTAGCAATTGGTAATTTTACATTATTTTCAAACTCATTTCTTATGAACTAAAAGATTTGTTCAAAGTTACTTCTTATATTATAAATTTTTTTCTGGTTATGTTCTAAAGTTATTTATGATGTTCTAAATTTTTTCTAAATTAGATGCTTATGTTTTAAACTACTTTCTTATGTTCTAAAAGATGCGCTTAAATCGATGCTTATGTTCTAAATTATGTGCATATGCTCTAAATTATATGATTATGTTCTAAATTATGTGCATATATTCTAAATAATATGATTATGTTCTAAATTAGTTATGTTCTAAAGTTACTTCTTATGTTCTAAATTTTTTCTGGTTATATTCTAAAGTTATTTTTGATGTTCTAAATTTTTTCTGGTTATGTTCTAAAGTTACTTTTTATATTCTAACTATTTCTAGGTTATGTCATAATTGTTTCTACTTATGCTTTGATTGTTACTTCTTATGTTTTAATAATTACATTTTATGGTCTAATAGTTACTTATTTTCTAAATATTTTTTGTTATGATCTAAAAGTTACTTCTTATGTCCCTTCAATTACAGTTGTCCCAGAAAATCAAAAAGATAATGAAGCAGAAATCACTTACGAAGAAGTGACAACAAGTGCTCTTAATTGTTCTTTTCTGAATCCAGATCATCCACCTACATTGGATGAAGAGAAGAAGAACGAAGAGGAATTAAAGGAGAAGCAAGAAGAGGAAAAAGAGGAGAAGAAAGAAGAGGAAAAAGAGAAGCAAGAGGAGAAGGAAAAAGAAGAAAGAAGAGGAAAAAGAGGAGAAGCAAGAGGTAAAGAAAGAAGATGAAGAAAACAAGAATGAAGAGAAGAAAAAAGAAGAAAAAAAAGTGAACAAGAAAGGGTAATCATTTTGTAAACATTAGACCTTTAGGTTAGAAATATTTAGAAAAGTTAGGTTAAACTTTAAAACAAATGTTGGTTATGGTTTAGTTAAACTTTAATTTAGAACCTGGTAATAATAAATTTTGGTTTGATTTGGTTATGGTTTTTGTTATCTATGTGATATTTTTTTATTGAAAGAGGAAAAAAAGAGGAGAAGAAAAGACACGGAACTAGAAATGACAACGGCCGAAGTAACAAGCATTCAATCGGTAACTTGGTTCTAATTATATCTTATTATGTTGTACTTTTTTCTTATTATATGTTCTAATTATTGGTTTTGTTTATGTTCTAATTATTTTTATTTATGTTTTAAAGTATCTGCTTATGTTCTAAATTGCATGCTTATGTTCTAAAGTACTTACTTATCTTTTAAACTACTTATTTATGTTCTAAACTACATGTTCTTAGCTACAAGCTTATTTTCTAAAATACATGTTATAAATATTATATGCTTGTGTTCTAAACTATATGCTTATGTTCTAAAATGCATGCTTATGTTCTAATTTTTCTTATCTATGTTCTAATTCTGTTTATCTATTAGGTTTTCTTCCCGGTCGTTTTACCAGATCACTACTATTTGCTGTGTGTCAACTTTGTGGAAGGAACACTTGATTTGAATGACAACATATTTCTTCCACCAAATATTCCTTTTCAAAATAAATATGGAAATTACCATAGATTAATGGTAAGATATCAAAGTTTACATTTTTTAAATTATACTTTTATGTTTTAACTTTTGCCTTATATATTCTAAAGTTTTCTCTTTATGTTCTACAGTTTTTCTTTACGTTCTAAAGTTTACCCTAAATGTTTGAAATTTTATGCTATATATTCTAAAGTTTATCCAATTTTTCAGTTGAATGCATTTGGTGATTTAGTTCACTCAGTTGACTCAAATATAAAGAGTGACTTTGTATCCTCCTTCAAAACAAGAAACTTAAGTATGTCATGGAAGAGAAATAAGAACAAACATGATTGTGGAGTGTTCCTATTGAAGCATATATGGAAACATATGAAGGAGATTCTGTAAAACAATGGAATTCGGGACTAGAACTAGACAATGTAAGTTTAAAACATAAAATACATGTTTTACATTAGTTGGAATATGGATATCATTTGGAACATGAACCTCATTTGGAACATGGACATCAATTGGAACGTTGACCTGATTTGGAACATGAACCCCCGTGCCTTTGTTCTTCGAAATGTTAGGAGGTTTGATTAAAACTTTAGAAGGTAGAGTAGCTCCAATAAGCATTTCAATATCTTTTGCTTTGGTAGAAAGAGTGTTGCTTGCATTAGTGGTTTTCTTATGTTCTAAATTCATCCTCAAAGCATGAAGTTTGTTGACAAGATCACTAAGATCATCTTCATTGTTTTGCACTAAACTCACACAAGAATGAATTTTGGACCACAAATCATTCAATAACATCTTCTTATCTATTGCATTGATACATTTCTCCAACATATTACCTTCTACATAAAGAATTGGCTTCTTACAAGTAATTGTAGTCCATCTGTTTAGAACTTAGGCCTTGGGAATTTTTTCTAACATCCTTGCCTTCCATACCCAAATCATATGCCTACAAGGAATGCCTTCACGTTCAAACATTTTACAAAAACACTTGGTTTCTAAGGTAGTTGGATTAAAAACAACATCAAAAGTCCTCCTCCTAGATCCTTCCCTCAATTTGAAAATGTAAAGCTCATTGTCCTTCTTTATCTCCTCAACACCACAATTAAAACATCCAATTTCAAGCTCATATTGAAATTCATAGAAAATTGTTGTTGTAAACAACTCAGAAGCATGTTTCTCTAAAGGAATTAGAGTCTTTAACTCCGGACGCTTATTCTTAGAATCATTAGCCATTTTATTTTGTGTGTGGCTTTGATCATCCAATGCACATTCAAACCTATAGAAAATAGAAATTAACTTTAGAACATAGAAGATAACTTTAAAACATTGAGTGAATTACATTAGAATATATAAAAGTAATATACATGACATGCTTATTATGATCTAAATACTATTAAAACATAAAGAAAAAACTTTTCAACATATAAGACAAAATTTAGAACATAAAAAGAGAACATAAAAGAGAATTATAAAATAAATAGTAAAACTATAAAACATAAAAAGAAAACTTTAGAGCATAAAAGGAAAACTTTAGAACATAGAGAGTAACTTTAAAACATAAAGAGTAACTGTAGAACATAGTTAGACAATTACATATTACCTCATGTAAAACTCAATAAAAGTGAGATGGGGATTTGTGAACATAGTAAAAAAATTATTTTCACTTTCTGATCTAGATGTGGTCCTCATGATGCCACCCAAAAATAAATCTCTGAAATACGCTGGAATCCACATATCACGTATATTGTACATATGCGCCAACCATTCATGATCGTTCAAATGGAATTCAGAAATAACTTTGTTCCACTTTTCTTGAAATTCTGCCGGCTTAATCTCAAAAAATCAGTGTCTTGGGAAATTTCCCGACCTACTTATTCATAATATGCCACATACAAAACCTATGTTCTGTAGTTTGAAAAAAATTACGAATAACAACTTTCATTGCAGGGTCTTGATCGGTAATCAAACACACAGGCTCGTTATTTCCCATTGCTTTAAGAAAAGTTTTGAAAACTCATTCAAAAGATGATATATCCTCATGAGCTACAAAAGAAGCCGCAAAAGTAACACATTTCTTATGATGATCAACTCCAGTAAATGGACCAAAGATCATATTATATCTGTAACATACACAAATTATATATGCAGAAAATATTAGAACATAGAGGTAAACTTTAGAACATAGAGGTAAATTGTAGAACATAGAGGTATACTTTAGAACATTAAGGATAAACTTTAGAGCATAGTAATTTACTTTAATTATTAAACTTGCCAATAATATAGTTGTTTTAAAACATAATGAATTACTCTAAAACATAAACAATAAACTTAGAATATAGAGTGAAGCTTTAAAACCTAATAAGTAAACTTTAGAACATATAAAAATAATATTTAGAACACAAGACATAATGTTTAGAACATCAGAACATGATGGATATTAGTTTAGAACACAAAGCATAAAGTGTAAAACACAAAAGCATAATGTTTAAAACAAAAAAAGCATGATGGATATATTTTAGAGCATAAGACATATATGTTTAGAACATCAGCAATATTTGTTTAAAACATCAGTAATATATGTTTAGAACATAAGACATACATAATTTAAAACAGAAAGGAATATATGTTTAGAACATCAAAATATGATTGATATTTGTTTAGGAACACAAGGCATAATGTTTAGAATATAAGAACATATGTTTAAAAAATTAAGATGTAAAAGTAAAATATTAGTTAGATTATGAAAGAAATCTACATTTAGAACATCACCTGTTTATTTTGAATGTGGTATCAAAAGAAACCATATTACCAAAAAGTGCATAACTTTTTCGATAAGTAGAATCAACCCATAAAGCTCTACAAAGTCTATCTTCTTCATCAACATCATAGGAAAAAAAAATGCACTCCAGAGCAATTTCTTATTTTGAAAATTATCCACAAACATTTGGGCATCTGATCCATCAATATAAGCCTTCAAATCTCTATAAAAGTTTTTGAAATCTTGTTTACATGCACCAACATTATCATGTGATCCAGCTAATTCTTTCATCATAGTAGAAGACCTCACTGGACCAACATTTACCTGTTTACAAGAAGAAGAAAAAAAAATTACTATGATTAAGTATCAACTTTAGAACATAGTAAATCATACAAAGAAAACATTATTTAGCACATAAAAATAAATCACCTTTGAATTATCAACAATCAACTTCTTTTGCATAATATGCATTTTTCTATTATTATTTAGAAATTTTGCACAACTTGGAGTATATAAAGAATGATTATGTTCTTCTATGAAATGAGTTACAACATACTTTCCGGCATCATACCTCATACATATGTGAGCATTGCATCCTACACGAGTGACTAAACGTTTCCTAGTAATACGAACTTTTTCTTCTTCATCACTGTTTGTTGGGCAATAAGTTCTTATTGCCCTGAAACCTTCCGTATTGCAAACTCCATATTGAAAAGCAATTACATATTTGTTATCCTTCTTCTTTTTAGTAGGAGATTTCCTAGAAGTAAACCCAGCGACATTTGCATATGCTTTGTAAAAACTAAGACCCTCTTCGGGATCTTTAAATATTATCCCCAGACTGGGTTTTAACTCCTCGGGAACACTTGGAATCCATTCCTTAGTGGTACCATCGGGGCTAAATGATCCAACAACCTCAGGAGTACGATAAATAACACCAATTGCATTAGAACATGAAAGTAAACATTAGAACATAAAAAGTAAAATTTAAAACTAGAAGGTAAACTTTAGAACATACAATGAAAGTCATAGAATATGAAGAAAACATTAGATCATAAAAAAATAAACTTTAAAACATAAAGAGAAAGATACATAAAAAAATTTAGAACATACAGAGAAAACTTTAGAACATTAAGGATAAACTTTAGAACATAGTAAATCAAGGACATACTTATAACATATTGCTTTAGAACATAGTGAATTACTTTATAACATACATAATAAAATTTAGAATAAAGTGAAAAAATTTAGAACATAATGAATTACTTTATAATATAAACAATAAACTTTAGAATTAAGTGAAAAAATTTTAGAACATATAATAAACCATAGGTAAACTTTAGAATATAGCTGGAAAAATTTAGAACATAGAATAAAAACTTTAGAGCATGTAAGTAAAGTTTAGAACATGTAAGTAAATTGAAATTAAAACATTAAAAACAATTAAAACTACCTGAATGAGTAACACAGGAAGAAGGAGAATTATGTTCAACATCATCTAAATCCATGAATATGCAAAAACCTAATTTCAAAACACAAATTGTAGCAATAAAAGAAATCATAAAATAATTGCAGATAATCGAAATTTGAAATACATCAACCTTAAGAAGAAGAAAAAAAAATAAAAAAAAAAACTAATAGGATGAACAGTCTTATAATCGAACACATATGTATCAAATCGAAAAAAGATCAAACAAAAATCGAACTGATTAATTGCAAATTTTCGAAATGATGAATTCGAATTGATGAAATCGCAAAAAATCAAACTGGTGAAATCGCAAAACTCGAACTAATTAATTCGGACAAAATTAAAAGATGAAATCGCAATTACAAAAAATAAAAAATAAAAAATAAAAAGAAAAAACTGATGAATTGCAATTTGTCGAACGATTAGATTGCATTTTTCGAACAGATAAATAATCAAACAATGGAACAAAAATTGCACAGAAATCAACCAAACAATTGCTCATAAAATGAACAAAAACGGTAAAATAGCATCAAAATTTTGAGAAAAAATCTGGGAAAATTTTGAGAAAAATCGCCATAAAAAACACAACAAAATAGCATCAAAATTGAAGTAAGAAATCGCATCTGAAATTGCAGCAACATCACACAAAAAATCGCAACAAATTCGGGTAAAAAATGATGAATTTCGCATAAAAAATGCTAAAAAACTCAGCAAAAATAATCGAAAATTGAATGATAATAGCAAACTCAGCAAAAATATTCAACATATTCTCTGAAATTTCGCCCAAAAAATCGAAAAATATAATCTGAAATTTCGCCCAAAAATTCAACATTGTACAACATACTATGTGCAATGCGGAAATTCGAAATAACAAAAAAGATTTTGATGATGAAATTGCAGAACTTACAACACTTTGATGAAGAATTCTGCCAATTTGATCAAAATAGGTGGAGACTCTTAGTATTAGATTAGGAAGAGAGAGAAAGACAAAGAACTGAGAGAATATTGGAGAGAGAAAGTGATACAGGAAAGCTGAAGAAGAAAGAGGTATATTAGTTACGAAATTTACAAAAACGCCATTATTAAGGTTGCATTAGAACGGTTAGATCATATTCAATCAACGGCCCTGATTGGTTCTTATATACAAAAGAGTTCTTTTATAGAGGAGGGTTCTTACATGAGCCTTCCTCTATATATATATATATATATATATATATATATATATATATATATATATATATATATATATATATATATATATATATATATATATATATATACGGGAGCGTTCCGCTGTAAACAAGGCTTACGGTGAAAACTAAAAACAACAAATCTCAGCCGTTGATGATTAATAAGATAATCTGACGGTTGAAATACAACCCAAAAATTTCATAGATACCTTTTTAAAAATATAATGACATTATAATGTAAAAACCTTTTAAATAACATAAATACCTTTTTAAATACATAGTGACCTTATAATATAGAAACCTTTTAAATACAGATACATTTTTAAATAACATAGATATCATTTTTTATAACATAGACACCAAATTAGAAAATAACACCTGTTAAAAGACCTAATTTTGTTTTTAACACCTTAAGATTTCGAAGTTTAATTATAACACCTGTTAAAAAATAAAAATTTTGCTTTCACCACCAGATAACAGAAACTGTGACGGAATTTTTTGGTGGGGCCCACATAGTCGTTTACCCTCCAAATTCCATCCCCTTCAATTCGAATTTATCTTCTCTGTCATTTATTACCACCCAACTAATTTTGCTTCATTGAATTTCGTCTGCAAATCTTGAACAACCAAAATTACTGCGAACATTCAAACCCTATACTGATTATTGTGATTGAGAAATTGAGTTGGAAGAGGAGGTGTCAATATTGGAGCGAAACAAGTCAGCGAGATTCCGTCCGCCATTTCCAACATCCAAAAAGCTTGGACTTTTTCGTGGATTCTGACAGCAACAGGAGTAAGATTCCAATACAGGTACCTTTCGAACCCTTTAAGGTAGTTTTCAACAAGTACTGTGTGCTGCATTATGCCATTTGTGTGGGTGTAGTAGGGTAATTTGGGAAAAAAAATTAGGAACCCTAAGAACAGTAAAATGGGTTAATTTGTAATTAAAGTTGAATTTGATTAAATTAAGTATGATTTAGTGTAATGTGTGAATTATTTAGTTTAAATCATTGATTTTATTGACTGTTGACTGGTTTGTCATTGTGTTGGTTTAAATATGTTTGATTTTGTTGATTAAAGTATTGCGGTTGACTGTGTAATGGGGTTAGCTATGTTGGGTTTTATTGATTTGCTTTGCATTTGTTTATTAGGTAGAAAAATGGCCGAAAACGAAGATGGATTAATTGATATAGTATTTAGAGTAGGGGGTGCTTTTGTTACTAAACAAGTGTCAAAATCAAAGCATTTGCTTTGTTGGTGTGGTGGGTTATGTTATTGGAGGAGGGATGTGGTAGTGGATAAGATAGATTTGCATTATTTGAGGGTAGCTGCTGTGCATGGGTTTGTGAACTTTAATGTCCATGTCCCACCTAACTACAGACTTTGGTATAAAGAAAGAGGTAGGACCTTTAACACAGGGAGAAGGGAGTTAGTAAATGAAGAGGAAGTGAAGGGGCTGCTGGAGACAGTGAATGGGGAAGGGTATGTTGAAGTATTTGTGACTGCTAATGAAACATTAAGGCCCATACATGAGATCCAGGCCCAGTCCACTCCAGTAAAGGCTGAGAGAAAGGGGAAGAAAAGTTCAGGTAAGCCTGCTGTAGTTAGGAAGAGCCCAAGAATTAACAAAAATGAGCCTAAGGTGAGGGAGGGTGAAGAATCTCCTAAACCTAGATCTAGACATGGGATAGAAAGGGTTGAAGGGGTTTCTGTTGAGATTAAGGGGGTTCCTGGTAAAGGGAAGTTGTTGAGTAAGGGGAAACAAAAGGGTAAAGCTAAGCTTGAAAGGGGTTCTGGCAGTGTGAAGGTGTTGGATAAGGGAAAGGGAAAAAAAAAATATGTAGGCAAAGGATTGATTTTTGAGGATAGTAGTGAGGGCAGTGAGACTGGGAGGGAAGATGATTTTTCTTCAAGTGATGGGAGTGAGATTGACATAACTTGGGAGCCTGGAGAGGAGGAGTATGACAGTGGGGATGAGAGGTGGTTTGTGCAGAATTCTGAAGAAATTTTAGCTAAGGTAACAAGAAGTCTTGGGAAGCAGTTTGATGTACATGATGAGGGGGTTTCCAAGGATCCAAAGGCAAGGTTGACAGATAACTTGGATGTGAATGAGGTACAACTACAAGAAGAAATTGAGGGAGAATCAGATGACCTAAGGAGCTTGGATGGTTCATCTGATGAAGAGGACAAAAGTCCATGGTTTAATGACAAATCTGACTTCTCAAAGCCTGTTGTACTTGTTCATAGGCTTAGGTTTAGCAATGCTACAGTGTTGAGGAAAGCTTTAAGAGTGCATGCCATACAGAATAGGTATGAGTACTATTTTTTACACAATGATAGTACTAGGATTACTATTCAGTGTAGGAATAGGTGTGGGTGCAAGTTTGACACAAAGACAAGTAGGATGCCTTTGTGTATATGCAGGGGTGGAGTGAAGTGTAGTTTCAAGATCCATGCTACTAAGTTAAAAAGACAACAGACTTGGCAAATAAAAACCATGAAGTTGGAGCATAAATGTGTGAGAAGCAGGGAGAACAAGAAGGTCACAGCAGAGTTCATTGCTGAGAGGTATCTTGAGGATTTCAGAACTAACCCATCATGGAAGGTTAAGCAAATCAAGGATAGGGTGCTTCATGACTTGGGGGTAGAAGTGACCTACTACAGGGCTTGGATGGCAAGATGTAGAGCTAAGTTGATCATTTTTGGTTCAGCAAGAGAGCAATATGCTAGGGTATGGGATTATGGGAAGGCTGTACTGAAATACAACCCTGGGTCTGGTTGTAATGTTGTGATTGATGGCATTGAAAAGCCTGAGCCTCCCTTGTTTATGAGGATGTTTATTTGTTTAAGGCCTTTGAAGGATGGGTTCTTGAAGGGTTGTAGGCCAATTATAGGGGTGGATGGCTGCCACTTGAAAGGAGGTTATCCAGGCCAGATTTTAGTTGCAGTCTCCAAGGATGGGAACAACAGCATTTACCCCATTGCTTGGGCAACTTGTGAGGTTGAAAACAGGGAGACTTGGGTCTGGTTTCTGGAATCCTTGATGCAATGCATTGGAAGTGCAGATGGGGCAGGCTTCACCTTCATGTCAGACAGGCAGAAGGTAATATTGTTTTGATTATTGTAGTCTTATTTTCTGTCCTGTTCTTTATTGTTTGAAGTGTGACAAGTAATTGTTGATGATGTTAAACAGGGACTGGTTGAAGCTCTGTCTGAAGTTGTGCCTAATGCAGAGACTAGGTTCTGTGTTAGGCACATTTGGGCAAATTTCAAGTTGAAGTTCACTGGATCAGTTTTCAAAGAGCTCTTTTGGAGTGCTGCAAGAGCAACAACATTTGTAAGTCTCTAGGTGACCTTAAATTATTTTGAATAAGTAAATGCATGATATTGTTCCTGTTCATGTACCTACTTCATGTAATAATGTTCCTGTTGTGTATAAAAGCAGAATAAGAGCAACAACAGTTGTGTATGTTATTCTTTCATGATAATGTTCCTGTTGTGGTTGTAGGTTGAGTTTCAGATAGCCATGCAACAGATTAGGGAGCTTGATGAGGATGCTTACAATTATTTGGAGAACATCCCCACTCATCACTGGTGCAGACATGCATTCAGTGACAGTTGCAGGTCCAACATGTTACTAAACAACATGTGTGAGACTTTCAACTCTGTTATCAGAGATGCAAGAGACAAACCTATCCTCACCCAAATGGAATGGATGAGGAGGTACATGATGAGGAGAAATAATGAGAAGTGGGAGGACTCCAAGGAAATCACAACCAACATCACTCCATATGTGCATAAGCTATTTCAGAGGATGAGCTATGTGGCTAGGAATTGCATAATTGAAGCTGCCAGGGATGACACTTATGAAGTGCAGCTGAATGATGACCAGGTTCTAGTTGACTTGCCAAATTGGTCTTGTTCCTGCAATCACTGGCAATTAACAGGCATCCCATGTATTCATGCATTTGCATGCATAATGGATCAGAGGGTTGATGCTGAGCAGTTTGTCCACCCCTATTACACTATGGACACTTACAGAGCAGCATATGAGCCTGCAATTCAACCTATGCCAGGCCCAAAGCATTGGGAGAGAGTGAACATGAGAGAGCCTCATCCACCAGCATTCAAACAGCAGCCTGGAAGACCTAAACAGAAGAAGAGGAAGCTGGAACCTGGGGAGGGAACATCTGCAACAGGAGGGGAGCAGGGAAGAAAGAGGAGGAAAAGTCAGTGTAGGATTTGTGGTGGATTTGGCCACTATCCCAAGACTTGCAAGGGCCCACATGAACCTGAACCAACTGAGCAGAGAACTGCAGGAAGGCCTCCTTTAAATTCACCTTGGGTAGTTGAGCAAAGGAAGAAGAGGGAGATCAAAGCTGCTAAGAAGGTATGCTGTTGGATTTGTAACTTTTCTTTTAAAATTTGTGATGAAATTGGATGTTGATACTTGTTTATTGGTATTTGTGTTTAATAAACAGAGTGCAATAGGGGCTGGTCCAAACAGCATTGGGAATAGGACTTTTCCCCAAGAGCAACCTGGCTGTGAACCATTGAGTAAGAGGAAAGGTTCACACAGTCAACAAGGGCAGCCACAAGCCAAGCATCACACCACCCCCTCTTCCAGCCAACCTGAACCCAATGCTACTGGAGTGCAGACAAGGAGGGCTAAGCTGCTGACTTCCAGACAAGGAGGGCTGACACAATGATGTTTGAATTGTTTTTCTGAACTTTAGTTGTTGGTTGTATTTTCTGAACAATCAGTTGCAATATTTGTAGCTTTACTTTTGGGTATAGGACAAGGATCCTGTTTTGTTAAATTAATACTTTGCTTTAAGGCTTTACCAGCCAATTTTGTTAGGCACTGCAACAACAAATTTGATCAACAACTTAAATGCAATATCAACTACTTAGGTACTTACTTAATTCTTTGCTTTCATAATTGTGTACATTAGTTTGCTTGCAATAGTGGTTCACTGCCACTTATAAATCATTACATTACCATATTACTGTTTCATGCAATTACTAGCATTACAAGTTATACTTAATGCATTACAAACCCCCTAATAAGAAGGATCACTAATATGACCAAACTAATCCCAACAGCAAGACTAAGAACAGAGTGATCTGATCTAGCATTCCTTCCATGCATCTCTCTGTTCATCTTGTTCCTGTCAGAGTTTAAAGCCTTGCATTTCATTTTCAGCCTGTCCACTTCATTCAGCAAGCACCTCAACTGTCCACCAAGATCATCAACTTCCCTCTTGTAATCACTAATTTCCCCCTTCAACAGTTTCTTATCTAGCAACAAATTGTTGATCACCTCTGTTTGCCAGGCTGTCCCATCTTGTTCATCCACCCATTCAAATGCTTTACAACCTCTGCTCTCAGTTACAGGATCGTAGAACTTGCATGTTCTGAACTTACGACCAGGGTTCTCCCTTGTCCAACTGGTAAGCTTTGCAAAGGGAACACCACATTTGCACTTCTTCTCCTTTGAAGGTGAGAAACTTGTAGAAGACATTTCCTGCACCAATTTGCCATCCATAATAAGCAAAACCATTCGTACTATGAAAAAAATACAATTGAACCAAGGGAATTAAACAGTCACTCCTACAAATCAAAACCCCCAAATTATTTCTACAATGAACCCTAATTTCATTTTCTCGCAAATTACAGCACAATTAACACACAATGAACCCTAACTATTTACGAATTACATGACTATTGCCAGATACGACCTTAATTATGCATTTAAGTCAACAACATATAGATTAATTTACGCCTTATTTTTGAAAGATAAATTAGGGTTTCTAAAGTGCTATTGACGCAATTACCTGATTTGATATCTACGTCCCCCAAACAATGATGGTAAAATCAAACAATTTCGCCAATTTGTTAGTCAGAATTCGCAAAATGTGAAGCAATTTTGTGTAATCAGCTCAACAATTCTACATTAGTGAAGGATGTCGTAACTATATAAAGCAGTTTGGAAAAAATAGCCGTTATTGTGGGCCCAGCTAACAGATCCTCTAACGTTGTTCCAATTTAGGTGGTGAAAGCAAAATTTTTATTTTTTAACAGGTGTTATAATTAAACTTCGAAATCTTAAGGTGTTAAAAACAAAATTAGGTCTTTTAACAGGTGTTTTTTTCTAATTTAGCCAAATTTATAACTAGATCATTACATTAGAACTCATAATTTATAACTAGATCATTACATTAGAACTCATCAAGCACCTTCAAACTCCTTCATTGTCTGCCAAATTAAGCTCCTTCTAATAGCACAACTGGTTCAGGCATTCCATCGAACACCTTCAGTGCACTAAGCTACACATATAACAACAACGCTGCGTATCCAACAATACTGCTTGTTAGTTTTTAATCAAATCAACCAATTGAGCACAAAATTAATCAATTGAACATCAAGAAAATCAAATGAAAATCAATTACGAAAATAATAAGCAAGGATTCAATGAATTTTAGGCTTATATACAGGCAAGATCAGAGCTCAACACAAATTTAACGAATTATTATAATTAAAGAAGATAGATTGCATTTAAATGAATCAAGAAGGTTTGGAATTTAAAATTAGAATCTGAGGAGAGAGAATACCTGGGTTCAAAAATTTTAAGTTGAGTATGCTTAAGCTGGAGAATGGAGAGTTGTCGTTGCTGGCAAGAGAAAATCAAATTTAAAATTACATTTTGCATGAAAAATGGAGAAAAAATCTCGACCGTAAGATTTGATGGGTTAATGGTAGATCGCAATCTACAGTTAAGAGGTTATGTTTTTAGTTTTCAGCTTAAGGTTGGTTTTCACATGATCCAACTCCTATATATATATATATATATGGTAAAATTGTCATTAAACATTTTTTTTGAAAATCGTCATTAAATTGTTTTTTTATATATATGTCATCATTAATTTACGAGTATATTTTTTTCTGGTGTGATTTTCTTGTTTTCTATCACACTCAAAGCAGAGGTGCTGGATGTTGTAGACTCGTAGAGTATGGTCTGGAGCTAGCAAAGAGAATGGGCATGGTGACTAATGAAGCCCCAAGTGCATAGTGATTGATGAAGCTCCAAGTTCAGGTTGATAACCAAGCTATTGTCCATATTTTGAAAGGTTTAGAACAACAAATTTGGGTTGACAAGTCCCACTTTAGGTTTAGGTCGTATTTTACATAATGATATAGTAAGTGTGGCTATGCCACATTTCATTCCTCTGTAGTTAATTTTTAGCCCCTTGTTTGCACCCAAACAAACCAAAAAAAAAAAAAAAAGGAGTTTTCTTAAACTTTTTTTAAAAAGTGGGAATTAGCTCTGTATCGTTTAGGCTTTAGCGTTTTCCAAGAAAACTCTATCGTTTATATATGTATATACACGGAGTACATTGTATAAAACATCAATTTGAGAGCGCTTATTTAGTTTCTTTACTTATTACTAATGTTGTGCCCGGACGATGTCCAGATAGTTTATTGAATGGCGCACCACATAGATTTGCATAGGAGGCTTAGCATTAGTAGTTTGCTTGGGATCAAAATTTATTTTTTTTTTATTTTTTTTTTAAGAATAAATTTCCTGAGAACATCTAAACACTCATCATCCTTAATTTTGGATGCATTAAATATTAACATGTATTATTGGTACAAATCATCATATTCTATAAAAGGCAATTATATATATATAAAAACCAACATACTTTGTATATGTTATAGAACTATACTCTGTATAAAAGAAAAACAATGGTGCAATTTCAATGTAAGATATTTCTATATATGTTGTTTCATTTCGATACTCATGAATTAATGATCACTTGTTAATTATATTTGTAAAGTAGTTCGATGTAATTTATCAAATTTTATTAATTGTTATTATTTCAATGTACTACACATGATTAATAACCACCCAATAATAATATTGATAAAATATATATAACAATTAGTAGTTTTGGCAGGTTTACAAACGACATCAGCGCGTTTTCTATACGTCTTGTCACTTAATAATTTAATATTTTTTAAATTAAGTGATAATTTAATTTGTACATATAAAATATTGGTATTTTATCGAAAATAAAACTCTAAATCAACAATTATCTTATAAATCTATCCAAATTTTATTGAAAATAAAACTCTAAACTAACGATTTTATCCTACATAATCTATCTAAACCTATCAAACTTTTCTATCCTATAGAAAATCATCTTTTTTATTTTCTACAAAAATAGATAATATTACATGTCATACTAATATTTAATTGTTGCCTACGTGGCGCGACACTTGGCGAAAAATTAAACGCCAAGTGTCACTGTCTCTTGGCCTGGCTAAAAGTTTAGCTTTATATATCAGTTACTAGTTTTGCGCCCGGGCGATGCCCAGATGGTTGATAAAATTTAAGATAATATTTTTACTTGAATGTTAAATACGGTTAAATAATTCGTTCGGATAATGTAGGATAATTAGGCATACGATATCATATGAATTTATATAATAGTGTACCTTTTGTAGTTTTGTTTGTAAATAGATATCTATGTTATTATTGACTTGGAATAATTTTTATTGAACTTAAATTATTTTCACTAAACTAAAAGTATTTTTACCGAACTAAAATTATTTTTACTAATTAAAACTTATTTTTACTGATTCTCTTAACCCCTATAAAACTGACCGAGTAACCCTGTGATATTAACTGAGTGACCTCTAACAATGACTAAGTAACCCCTATCTATAACACTAAGTGAGTAACCACTATAACACTAGCCAAGTAATTCCTATAGCACTAACGAAGTAACACTTGTAATAGTTGGTGACACGGTATGGCCAGCTACGTATAAAAGTTTGTCATTAAATATATTATAAATAGATCTTATTTTAAAAAAAAATTTAAAATGAATTTGATGATGGAAATAGCTTTGAGTTATAGGATATTTATTAAAAATTATGATTAATTTTGTATATATGAAATATTAAAATTTTATTGATAATAAAACTCTATACAACAATCTTATTTTAAAAAATCTATCCAAAAATCGCATAGTTAGCATCATATGTGTCACGATAATACATATTTATCTCCTACGTGGCGCGACACTTGGCGAAAAACTGAAATGCCAAGTGTCGCTGATTCGTGCCTTGGCTGCGAGACCGACTTTATTTATTAGTGTTATGGTATGATATGATATAATTGTTCACTTTTTTACTATATTGTTTATAATTTTATAGCTAAAATAATATTGATTTATATTCAATGAAACACGGTGTATTATTCGGACCACACACTAGTTTACATCTTATAAGTATCTATGAGTTTATTTGTATGACATGAAAAGAAAAGGAGAACCTTCATTTTTGACTTTCCAATAAACACGTCACAACCAAAAAAAAGTACTCGTAAGAGAGGAAATTGTTGTTCCTTCTTATGTAATCTATAAGTGATAATATATTCACTTATAGACTTTTAAAACTTTGACCCGTTATTCTTATGTAATCTATAATTGATAATATATTCACTTATTGACCCGTTTCATATATGTGGTTAGACTTTTAAAATTTTGATCATAAATTCTCGTTAATCTATAAGTGATAATATATTCATGGGGAGATTTTGTTGAAATCGTCTTAATATATATTTTATTAATATGATTTTTTTTATAAATTTTATGCATATAAAATTAGAGATATATACGCTTTTGTAAAAAGTCAAATTGGACAATAAATTAGGGATGGAGGGAGTAATATACATTGATCCGATCAATCCCGTGGACCAATATTAGTGGAACAAGATTTGGCATTCTAATATCTCCAACAAGATGAAAACAAATTGTTAGAGGATTCCCACAATTAAGGTATAACATCTCTTGATTTGTATAAATTTATATACTCATACAATACATACTACTCCGTAAGAAACAATTTCTTGCAATCCCGCTAATCACATCTAAATTCTTTCAATACCATTACAGAGTAATACATAGTTTTTTTTTTTTTTTTTTTTTTTTTTTTTTTTTTTTTTGACTTTTATAAAAAAAATAAAAAAATGAAATTGATTTTTATCACCATAACTTCTCAAAGTTTTACTTTACCACCAAAAAAATTCTAGAAATTGTATTTCACCACTTGCCATAAAAAAAATCATTAAATCTAACGGAATTTTTAAAAAAAATTGATTTTTGTGCAAAAGACATGCTCTTTAATATTTTGGGGGTTATTTTAGTCCATTGAAACCGATTTGAGGTCAGTATTGACAAAAAATTATCACAAATGCTTTATTGTGGAGGTAATAGGGTATGTGGAAGAATTAAAAAAATTATAAAAAAAAATAAATAAAAGTAGTTGAGAGATTTGGTGGAGAGAGAATATGAAATCAACAACTTTTTGGTGCAGCAGGCCACACCATGTGGCAGGGGTTACCCGAGTTATTTTGTTAGGGGTTACCCGACTTATTCAGTTAGGGGTTATTCAAGTTAGTCGGTCAGGGGTTACTTGAGGGGTTCGGACAGGGGTTACTCGAGGGGTTCACTCGGTCAAGCTAATGGTTATTTGAGGGGTTACTCGAGTTACTCGGTCAAGGGTTACTCGAGTTACTCAGTTAGGGGTTACTCGAGGCCTCGAGAGGTCACTCGGTCATGGGTTACTCAAGTTACTCGGTCAGGGGTTACTCGAATTACTCAGTCAGGGGTTATTTAAAGAGTTCGGTTAGGGGTTACTCGAGTAATTCAAGTTGGGGTTGTTTAAGGAGTTCGGTAAGGATTTACTCAGGGGTTACTTGAGGGTTCACTCAGGGGTTACTTGAGGGGTTACTCACTCAGGGGTTACTCGGTCAGGGGTTACTTGAGGGGTTCAGTCATGAATTACTCGAGGGTTACTCGGTCAGGGGTTACTTGAGGGGTTACTCGGTCAGGAGTAACTCAAGTAACCCTTGGTCGAGTAACTTGAGTAAACCCGGCAACTCGAGTAACCCCTGACCGAGTAACTCGAGTAACCCTGACAACTCGAGTAACCCTGACAACTCGAGTAACCCCTGAGCGAGTAACTCGAGTAACCCCTGCCGCACGGTACAGCAGGCCGCATACAAAAAATTGTGGTATAAAATTAATAAAATATGATTTATGTTCAGTCCACCAGTTAATATAAATAAATTAAATATTATAAAAACTTTTCAAATAAGAAAATAAAATAAGTATTTAAAAACAGAAGGAGTAAGATGAAGTAATTCGTACATAGTACATCATATTAAATACAAAATACGGAGGATTACTTTATTAAAATTCGACTTACCAAACTAACAACCCGATATCCACTAAACACCCCTGTACGTAAATAATCTCGTTTGACAATAAGTAATTAAGTAGTCAAGTTGACAAGTGCCAAACACAATTTTGCCAATTTGGTATGTTCACAAGACCTGTTCAATGGGTCGGGCTGGGCTGGGTTAGGCTTTATATGAAAATATATTGGTATTGTAAAACTCTGAAAAAGTACAGGATAAATCTCGAGCAATAAAATTTGAAATCCGGCACATTGTATTATGAAAATAGTTCATATCACCTACTGTAGTACTATGAGAGTTTTCACCATTAAGTAAAAGTGACAATTTTCGTACTCGGTATTAGATATTATAACTATGCAAATATGCTAATCCTTTTGCAGCTCCAAGGGCAATCTTTAGTCTTCCAGGCCTTTCCATGGTAGGCTGCCCTTCCTATAATTAGACCATTTAAAATTTTAGTTAAATCAATGTCAATCACTAATTATAAGCATAAGAGCCAAAATGAGTGTTATAATATGTTGGCATTAAGTGCAT